AGGGTAACACTGCTTATTCAGCAAATCGCCCCGCGGCTAGAGTCTGCAGCGCGCGCTGGGAAACGAGGAGATAGCGACGCAGGGATACAGCGCTGCAGTTTCTGCCAGCCGTGCAAGCACCGTACTCAGGGCTGAATTCTGGGTTCGAGACGGGGGAAGGAAGCAGTCCATCTCGGTTCTCCACACCTGTCAGACCACAGAGGAGGCCAGCAGCCACCATGTTGGAAAGCTGACATCACCATCCCTGTTTTCGACTGACCGCAGCTCATTCAGCCATAGAACAGGTAATTTCAGGCTGCCATTCGCCTGTGGCTTGCAGACAGATTGCTAGGGTTCAGTGCCTGGGTGCTTCTTAGAACCTGATCTTATCGGAGCGAACACTGAGCGTGGGGCGGCCGAGTTCCGGCTCCCGGTGTAGGACCTCAAGACCCAGGCCCAGCATTAGGTGACCAAACCCCTAGGCCTCAAAGCTGCAAGACACTTCCTCACCCAACCCCCATGTCAAAACCCCTCCAGCAGCATGTAGCACCTCAGGTGTTGCACAATGTTACCACAAGATGTTCCATGTAGACAACCCTAACGGGCCCCCTACCACAAGATGTTCCTTTTAGACAGTCCTACCGGTTAAACTTGAGAACTAGGTTTAAAAACAGGAACTGAAAGGACAGAATGCAATTTTATGGTTTTTCCGAGAACAAAAAGTTGAAAAACAAGTTTACCCCCCTAGGTGACTCAACTGCTAAATTCAGAGACACCAATAGGAAGGCTGTTGCTGTGCTAAGCTAAGACCTAACCCACCTGTTCCCTATAAAAGATCTATACCCCAAAGCCCGGTGTGCCAGTTCACCGAAGCTCCGGCTGAGGTTTTCCTGTGCACCCGCAGGCGCTTGTGTGAGAATAAACGCCTCCTGCTTTTTGCAGCCAGTGTCTCGTGTGGTTCCTTCCGGGTTTGGGATCTGTGGATATTTCATTGTGGAGGTTCCACCGAGATCCAAGATCCCGGTTCCGGTTCCGATCCCGGTCCCTATCCTGAGGACACCCGACATCACTGGGAGGTAAGCTGGCCAGCTCAAACTGACTGTCTTGTTGTCCTGTTGGTTATCTGTTCTTTGTTCCGCGCAGCGTCTGTAAGACTATATGATCCTAGGCATAGTCATTTAGTATTCTGAGTATTCTGAGGCAGTTCTGTCATTTAGTATTCTGAGGCAGCTTGAGAAGGAGTTGACGAACTCGGACTTCTCCCCTGCCACCCTGGGAGACGTCCCAGGGATCAGAAGGGTCCATTTCTTTGGGGCCCCCGGTGTTTCCGAGGGTTACACCATTTTTGTAGGCGACAAAGAAGTACAAACTTCTCCCAGGCCATCTGATTTGTTCGGTTTCCACCGAAGCCGCGCAGCGATCTCACTGTTTGGTTTCGTTTTTGTGTCATTGTGTCTGTCTCTCTATTTCCTCTCTGAGAGTAACATGGGACAATCACTAACAACCCCTTTGAGCCTAACTCTAGATCATTGGCAAGACGTTCAAGATCGGGCAGACAACCTGTCCGTGGCAGTCAAAAAGAAAAAATGGAAAACTCTCTGTACTTCAGAATGGCCAACATTCAACACCAGCTGGCCAGCAGAAGGGACTTTTAATACTGATCTTATTTTCCAGGTGAAAACCCGAATCTTCACCCATGGTCCTCATGGACACCCTGACCAGATACCCTACATTGTTACCTGGGAGGACTTAGCCTCCAACCCCCCCCCTTGGGTTGCTCCTTTCTCTCCACCCAAACCCCCTCTCCGTCCTCCCCTTGAACCCTCTGCTCCCCTCATTCCACTTCCCCCTCCCCAAACCTCTCATCTTTACCCTGTTCTTAACAAATCTGAGACCTCAGTTAAAACAGGGACAACACCAAAGAAGGTTCTACCGCCGGAGGACTCAACTCTAATTGACTTGCTGACTGATGAGCCTCCTCCCTATCAGCCCCAGCCCTTACAAGCCCCTGAACCTGATCAAGCATCCTCCGAGGACGAGAACCAAGAAGGCCCAGTCGCCAATGCTCCCCCGGATCCATCTCCCATGGTGGGATGGCTCCGGGGACGCCGGGATCCACCGCCTCAGGAGACACCTCCAGAGTTCTCCCCCTGCGACAGACGGGAGGCCCCAATGGCCAATATCAGTATTGGCCTTTTTCTGCCTCTGACCTCTATAACTGGAAAACCCATAACCCTTCCTTTTCTAAAGACCCTATAGCTCTAACCTCTTTGATTGAGTCTATCCTAGTAACTCATCAGCCAACATGGGATGACTGCCAGCAGCTCCTGCAAATTCTCCTCACTTCAGAGGAGAAACAAAAAGTTCTTTTGGAAGCTCGCAAAAATGTGCCAGGGGACGATGGGCGTCCCACCCAACTCCCAAATTTGATTAATGAAGCTTTTCCTTTAACCCGGCCAAACTGGGACCATGCGACTGAAGCAGGTAGGGACCACCTACGTCTCTATCGCCAGTTACTCATAGCGGGTCTCCATGCAGCAGGGCGACGACCCACTAATTTGGCTCAGGTAAGACAGACTACCCAAGGGGCAGCAGAAACCCCGACAGCATTTCTAGAAAGATTAAAAGAGGCATATCGGAGGTTTACTCCTTTTGATCCTGATAGCGAGGACCAAAAAGGAAATGTATCTATGGCTTTCATTTGGCAGTCCGCCCCAGATATCAGGTCTAAATTGCAGAGACTAGATAACTTGCAAGATTTTTCTCTGGCAGACTTACTGAAGGAAGCCGAAAAGATATATAACAAAAGAGAAACTCCAGAAGAACGAGAGGACAGGATCAGAAAGATGCAGGAAGAACGAGAACTTAAGCTTAGAGAGGAATCAGACAAAAAAGAAAGGGAAAGAGAACAAAGGCGTAACAGGGAACTAAGTAAAATATTGGCCACCGTAGTTCAGGCAGGACATCAGGGAAACAAAGTAAACAGGGACAGGGAGCAAAGCAGACCCCGTGTAGACCGAGATCAATGTGCCTACTGCAAGGAAAAAGGACACTGGGTAAAAGACTGCCCAAAGAGACCCCCCAACCCCAGGAGAGATACCAACCGGGCTCCCCGACTGCTAACATTAGATGAGGATTAGAGGAGTCAGGGCCAGGAGCTCCCCCCTGAGCCCCGGGTAACTCTACAAGTAGGGGAGCAACCTGTGACCTTCCTAGTGGATACCGGAGCCCAACACTCAGTGCTGACACAGACACCAGGACCCATGAGCCACAAAACGACGTGGGTCCAAGGTGCCACTGGGAGTAAACCCTACCGGTGGACCACCAAGAGAGAAGTACACCTTGCCACAGGTAAGGTTTCTCATTCGTTCCTACACGTGCCTGACTGTCCGTATCCACTGTTGGGAAGAGACTTATTGGATAAATTGAGAGCCCAAATTTATTTTAAAGATGGGGGCGTCTCCATCACGGGGCCAAACCAGACTCCATTACATATATTGACTTTCAAATTGGAAGACGAATATAAACTTTTTGACAAGCCCTCGGTACCTATGAAAGACATGGACTATTGGCTTAGTTCCTACCCGGAGGCCTGGGCTGAAACCGGAGGAATGGGATTGGCAAAACAACGGCCCCCAATAGTCATTCATCTAAAGGCCGCTGCTACTCCCATTAATATCAAACAATATCCTATGTCAAGAGAGGCCTATCAGGGCATCAAGCCGCACATCAAACGCCTCCTAGACCAAGGCATCCTAACACCTTGCCAATCGCCCTGGAACACCCCACTACTACCAGTTAAAAAGCCGGGGACTAATGATTACAGACCAGTCCAAGACTTAAGGGAAGTTAACAAGAGGGTATGCGATATCCACCCCACAGTGCCAAATCCTTACAATCTCCTTAGCACTTTGCCTCCTACTCATACTTGGTATACTGTTCTGGATCTGAAAGATGCTTTTTTCTGCCTAAGACTGTCTCCCCAAAGTCAGGCTCTCTTCGCATTTGAATGGAAAGATCCCGAAGGGGGAATCTCTGGACAGCTGACCTGGACGAGACTGCCACAAGGATTTAAAAACAGCCCAACACTCTTCGATGAGGCTTTGCATCAGGATTTGGCAGACTTCCGTGTAAGGCACCCTTCCCTAATCATGCTCCAATATGTAGATGACATCTTGCTGGCTGCGACCTCCGAGGAAGATTGCCAGGCAGGTACGGAGAAATTATTGCAAACTTTGGGGCTACTAGGGTATAGGGCGTCAGCAAAGAAGGCCCAAATCTGTCAGACAAAAGTTACCTATCTGGGCTATGAACTCCATGATGGTCAACGATGGTTGACAACTGCCAGAAAAGAGACTATCTCAAGTATACCAACCCCCCAGAGTCCCAAGCAACTGCGGGAATTCCTGGGGACCGCAGGTTTCTGTAGACTCTGGATTCCTGGGTTTGCTGAGATAGCAGCCCCCTTGTATCTACTAACTAAGCAAGGTAACTCCTTTGCTTGGACTAAGGAACATCAATTGGCATTTGATAACATCAAATTGGCTCTTCTGTCAGCCCCTGCTTTGGGCTTACCGGACATTACCAAGCCCTTTGATCTGTTTATAGATGAAAAACGGGGATATGCAAAAGGGGTTTTAACCCAAAAACTAGGGCCCTGGAGGCGACCTATAGCCTACCTGTCAAAGAAATTAGATCCAGTGGCAGCAGGATGGCCACCATGCCTCCGGATGATTGCAGCTGTGGCTCTGCTGATTAAGGATGCCACTAAACTGACTTTGGGACAGCCATTAACCCTGTTAACCCCTCATGCCATCGAAACTGTGATTTGCCAGCCGCCTGATCGCTGGATGTCAAATGCCCGACTCACCCATTACCAGTCTTTGTTATTGGACACCGACCGAATTCAGTTTGGTCCCATGGTGACGCTGAATCCAGCGACCCTCCTGCCGCTCCCAGGAAAAGCCGATCCTCACAACTGTCAGCAGATTCTTGCAGAGACACAGGGAACCCGGCCGGACCTCACCGACCAACCGATGAAGGATGTGGAGCTGGTCTGGTACACAGATGGAAGCAGTTATCTGCTCAATGGAGAACGACGAGCAGGAGCAGCCGTCACCACCGAATCTGAGGTAATATGGGCGAGTGCACTTCCGGGCGGAACATCAGCTCAGCGGGCAGAACTGATAGCGCTGACTCAAGCGTTAAAGTTGGCAGAGGGGAAGAAACTAAACGTGTACACTGACAGTAGATATGCCTTTGCTACTGCTCACATACACGGAGAAATTTACAGACGCCGGGGTCTACTAACCTCAGAAGGAAAAGAGATCAAAAATAAGGCTGAAATATTAGCCTTACTTAAAGCTTTATTCTTGCCTAAAAAGTTAAGTATCATGCATTGCCCCGGTCATCAAAAAGGTAATACTCCAGAGGCCAAAGGGAACAGATTAGCAGATGAAACGGCCAAGAAAGCAGCCCTAGGGCCACAGCTTTTGATAGTGACTCTATTGCCCCAACGAGCAGACCCACCACATGATGACCATAAAGAACACTGGGTCTATGAAGATAAAGATTTAGATGCCATACAAAAACTGGGGGCCACTTATGACCCTGGGAAAAATGTCTGGAAATATCAAGGAAAAACTATCATGCCCCTCAAAAATTCAAAACAATTAGTAAAGTCCCTACACAGACTGACACACCTCGGGGCTAAAAAGATGAAGGAGCTCTTAGAGCATGGGGAAGGTACTTTATATCTTCCAAACAGGGATCAACTTCTGCGCCAAGAAGCAGAAAACTGTCAAGCATGTGCCCAGGTAAATGCTGGTAAGATCAAAATTGGAACAGGGATCCGGGTGAAAGGCCATAAGCCCGGAACCCATTGGGAAATAGACTTCACTGAAATTAAACCTGGTATGTATGGCTACAAATATCTTCTGGTTTTTGTTGACACTTTCTCTGGATGGACCGAGGCATTCCCAACTCGGCATGAGACTGCTAAGGTGGTTGCAAAGAAATTACTGGAAGAAATCTTTCCCAGGTATGGAGTACCCGGGACCATTGGGTCAGATAACGGGCCTGCCTTTGTCTCCCAGGTAAGTCAAATGGTGGCCAATACATTGGGGATTAATTGGAAATTACATTGTGCTTATAGACCCCAAAGTTCAGGACAGGTAGAAAGGATGAATAGAACCATCAAGGAGACTTTAACTAACTTAACGCTTGAAACTGGCACTAGAGACTGGGTACAACTCCTACCTTTAGCTTTATACCGGGCCCGAAACACCCCAGGCCCACAGGGGCTAACCCCATTTGAGATTTTGTACGGTGCACCACCACCTGCTGTTAACTTTTATGAAACTGAAACTTATGCCTCCCTCACCCCATCTATGCAGACTCATTTGCGTGCCTTGCAGTTGGTCCAGAACGAGGTTTGGAAGCCTCTAGCCGCAGCATACAAGGAGGAACTCAAAACCCCCTCGCTGCCACATCCCTTCAAAGTCGGAGACACCGTCTGGGTACGCAGGCACCAGAGCAAGAACCTCGAACCGCGGTGGAAAGGACCTTACACCATCCTGCTGACCACTCCCACTGCAATCAAAGTGGACGGCATCACCGCTTGGATCCACGCTTCCCACGTGAAAGCTGCACATCCGCAGGAGCCCACAGACGCCTCTCTGGATCCAGAATGGAAACTGCAACGCACCCAAAACCCGCTAAAGATAAGACTTACACGTTGTTAATCACTCTTGCTCTCTACGCTACTCCCCTCGTCCTAGGTAGTAATCCCCATACCCCCATGAAGTTGACTTGGCAGGTGTATTCCGAAACCGGAAAAATAATTTGGTCTATTACAGCAGCCCACATCCCTGGCACATGGTGGCCTATTTTGACCCCAGACTTTTGTCAACTAGCCGCTGAATCAGACTCTTGGGATATTCCCGGCAACTCACATGACCTCAGTACTTATTGTTCTACCCCCATAACGAGATGCAGACTGGGTCAACATGACTTTTACGTTTGTCCCAAAGAAGGGAGAAACCGAACCCAAGCACGTAGATGTGGAAATTATGAAACATACTTTTGCTCCTCCTGGGGCTGTGAAACTACAGGGGACGCTCACTGGAAACCTTCTTCTGATAAGGAATTCATAACAATACTCAAAAACTTCACTCCCCATGGCACGCGCCCCTCTGATTGCTATCCCCCCCACACACATCTTATTACCAAGGGGACAAATCATTGCCCTTACGGATACAGTTTACAGAAAAAGGAAAAGAACAGCTAGATCCCTGGCTCACTGGGAGAACATGGGGCCTTAGATGGTTTATGAAAGGAGATGATCTCGGTGTAATTCTCAGAATCAAATTATCTCTAACCCCAATTTTGATGAGCCCAATAGGACCTAATCCTGTTCTCGGGGACCAAAGAGCTCCCTCAGTTCCCAGACAATCAAAAAGTCCGCCCAAAGTACCTCCCAGTGAGCCACCCATGTCTCAAATTGTAACCATAGACTGTCAAACCTCTAGTTACTCCCCCGAACCCACACTCCCTGGAACCGAAAACCGATTGTTAGATTTGATTCAAGGAGCCTTTTATGCCCTCAATGCCACCAACCCAGACCGCACCCGGGAATGTTGGCTCTGTCTCACCTTCGGCCCACCCTACTATGAAGGAATAGCAATAATGTCTGACTGGAACAGTAACATAAACCCTGATCCTAAATGTATGTCCCTGCCCGGCTATAAACTCACCATCACTGAAGTTTCAGGACAAGGGATCTGTGTAGGAAATATACCCCTGTCACATCAACCTCTCTGTAACACCACCCTCCTGACAAATGGCTCACAAAATAATTATTTGTGGGGTCCCCCCGGAACTTATTGGGCCTGCAACATTGGACTGACCCCCTGTATTTCCACGGCAATCCTCAATGCCTCCACTGATTTTTGTGTGTTAGTCCGAATCTACCCACGACTATTCTATTATTCCTCAGAGGAATTTGAAGGACATTTCATGGGCAGGATTCGATACACCCGAGAGCCTATCAGCCTTACCCTGGCAGTCTTGTTAGGAGCAGGAGTATTGGCAGGAATTGGGACTGGGGCTGCAGCTCTGGTTGAGGGCCCCCGACAGCTAGGGATTCTAGAAGCTGCAATCCAACAAGACCTAAGAGCAATAGAAACCTCTGTAACTGCTTTAGAAAAATCCCTAACCTCCTTATCAGAAGTTGTCTTGCAGAATAGACGAGGTCTGGACCTATTATTCTTGAAGGAGGGAGGACTTTGTACAGCCTTAAAAGAAAACTGTTGCTTTTACACCGATCACACAGGGGTAGTAAGGGAGTCTATGACAAAGCTTAGAGAAAGACTAGATGCAAGGGAAAGGTCTCTGCAAAGCTCCCAAAGTTGGTTTGAAAGCTGGTTTAATAACTCCCCTTGGTTAACTACTATATTATCTACTGTAGCCGGTCCCTTAATTGTATTGCTGCTGATCTTAACATTTGGGCCCTGCATATTTAACAAATTAATGCAATTTATAAAAGAAAGATTGTCTGTAATTCAAACTATGGTACTCGCGCAGCAATATCAAGTACTCCCACAGCACCCTGAACCATCAGCTGAGCAAATACCGGACTCTGAGCAGGTAGATCAATGGATATAAGATTATATCCCGGATAAAGAAAAAGGGGGGAATGTAGGACCTCAAGACCCAGGCCCAGCATTAGGTGACCAAACCCCTAGGCCTCAAAGCTGCAAGACACTTCCTCACCCAACCCCCATGTCAAAACCCCTCCAGCAGCATGTAGCACCTCAGGTGTTGCACAATGTTACCACAAGATGTTCCATGTAGATAACCCTAACGGGCCCCCTACCACAAGATGTTCCTTTTAGACAGTCCTACCGGTTAAACTTGAGAACTAGGTTTAAAAACAGGAACTGAAAGGACAGAATGCAATTTTATGGTTTTTCCGAGAACAAAAAGTTGAAAAACAAGTTTACCCCCCTAGGTGACTCAACTGCTAAATTCAGAGAGACCAATAGGAAGGCTGTTGCTGTGCTAAGCTAAGACCTAACCCACCTGTTCCCTATAAAAGATCTATACCCCAAAGCCCGGTGTGCCAGTTCACCGAAGCTCCGGCTGAGGTTTTCCTGTGCACCCGCAGGCGCTTGTGTGAGAATAAACGCCTCCTGCTTTTTGCAGCCAGTGTCTCGTGTGGTTCCTTCCGGGTTTGGGATCTGTGGATATTTCACCGGAACCGTCCCGGAACCGCCCTGGCCCAGGGCTGCGGAGCCTGTGGAGGTTGCTTCTTGGACCCTGCTCCTATCAGAGCATACACCATGCACTAAGCGGCTGAATTCCAGCTCCCGGAACTCAGCCCGCGGGGACTGCTTCTTGGAGCCTACACTTATAGGAGCTTACACTGAGCACGGAACGGCCGAGTTCCAGCTCCCGGAACTGCCCTGGCCCGGGGCTAGGAGCCCACGGAAACTGCTTCTCGGTCCGGGTCCTGCTGAGGGCCGGTCAGGACTCACACGTTGCTTTGGTTGCCCGGCAAGGGGAACGAAATGCTGCCATTCCAATAGGATACCAACATGGCAGAGATCTGATGTCATCAGAAAGCGGCAGAGGAGAGAACTTCATCAATACCAGCGGCGACAGAAACAGTTGGTCTCCTGGTAGGGGGGGTGAGGCACAGACACCCGAGTTTCCTCAATTTGTCATTGAGCCAGAGGAGAGGAGCCGGGCCGCCACCAGCGCCCGGAGCAGGCCCAGCGGCTCGCCAGCGTGGTGACCGCGTGACCCCAAATGGAGAGGGGGCGGAGCGGAGCCGCCACCCGCACCCGCAAGGTGGGCAGACCCGCGACCCAGTGGTACATGGGCATGGTAGGAGGGGCAGGGCAGAGCCGCCATTCGCGCTTGCAAGGTAAACAGACCTGTAACAGCCTGGCGGGTCAGGCGCAGTGGCCTGCCAGTGTGGTACACACGTCACCCCAACTGGAGTAGGGGCAGAGCAGATCCCACTCCCATGCCCGGATCAGGCCCTGCCGGTGTGGTGGTCACGTGACCCCAATTGGAGTGGGGGCGGAGCGGAACCGCCACCTGTGCACGCAGGGTGAGCAGACCTGTGACCAACCTGCAGATCAGGCCCAGGGGTCCGCAGGCGTGGTAGGAGGGGCAAGGTAGATCCGCAGCCCGCGCCTCCAGGGTAGGCAGACCTGAGACAGACCGGCGGATCAGGCCCAGGAGCCTGCCGGCGTGGTACACACACCACCCTAATTGGAGTAGGGGCAGAGCAGAGTCGCAGCCCTTGCCAGGAACAGGCCCAGCGTCCTGCAGGTGGGGTAGTCACGACACCCCAATTGGAGTAGGGGCAGAGCAGAGCCTCCACCTGTGCCCGAAAGGTGGGCAGATCTGCGACCGACCAGCGGGACAGGCCCGGGACAGAGGGGCAGAGCAGAGTCGCCGCCCGCGCCCGGAACAGGCCCAGCAGCCCGCCGGCATGACCCCAATTGGAGTAGGGGAAGAGCAGAGCCGCCGCCCGCGCCTGCAGAGTAGGCAAACCTGCAACCGACCGGCGGATCAGGCCCGGTGGCCTACCGGCGTGGTACACTCGTCACCCCAATTGGAGTAGGGGCAGAACAGAGCCGCCGCCAGCGCCCAGAACAGGCCCAGTGACCTGCCGGCGTGGTAGCCACGACACCCCAATTGGAATAAGGAGAGAGCAGAGCCGCCGCCCGCGCCTGCAGGAAAGATACGCAAGCAGTATGAAAAGACAAGGAAAGAAAGGACCACAAGCAATGCAGGTCAACCAACTTTAGAAGAGGTAACAGCTGCAGCAGATGGAATGTCAGATAAAGAATTCAGGATATACATGCTTCAGATGATCCGGAGTATCAAGGAAGACATTAGACAGCAAAATCAGACAATGAAAGATCACTTCGACAATGAATTACGCAAACAAATCCAGGAAGCAAAGGATCAACTATACAGGGAGATAGAGGTTATAAAAAACCAAACAAACAGAAATCCTAGAAATGCAGGAAGCAATAAACCAACTTAAAAACTCAATGGAGAATACTACCAGCAGAGTAGAACACTTAGAAGATAGAACATCAGACAGTGAAGACAAAGTATTTCAACTGGAAAAGAACATAGACAGCTCAGTAAGACTGTTAAGAAACCATGAGCAGAACATCCAAGAAATATGGGATAACATTAAGAGACCAAACTTAAGAGTCATTGGGATACAGGAAGGTACAGAGCTCCAAACCAAAGGAATGAGCAGTCTATTCAATGAAATAATATGAGAAAACTTCCCAGACTTGAAGAATGAGACAGAATCCCAAATTCTAGAAGCCTACAGGATGCCGAATGTGCAAAATCATAAGAGATCCACACCTAGACACATTATAATGAAGATGCCCAACATACAGAATAAGGAGAGAATTTTAAAAGCTACAAGAGAAAGGAAGCAGATTACATTTAGGGGCAAGCCAATCAGGATAACAGCTGATCTTTCAACACAGACTCTGAAAGCTAGAAGATCCTGGAATAACATATTTCAAACACTGAAAGAAAATGGGTTCCAACCAAGAATTGTGTATCCAGCGAAATTAAGCTTCAGGATGGAAGATGAAATTAAAACCTTCCACGATAAACAAACGTTTAAAGAATTCGCAGCTAGAAAACCATCTCTTCAAAACATCCTCGCCAAAGCATTACAGGAAGAGGAAATGGAAAATAACAATGAAAACCAACAGTGGGAGGTAGGACAGTAAAGGGGGGGGAAATAATCAAAGAGGAAAACAAACCATGTTTAGTAACAGAAATAAACAAATATGGCTGGAAGAACAACCCATATCTCAATAATAACCCTAAATGTTAATGGCTTAAACTCACCAATTAAGAGACACAGGCTAGTAGAATGGATCACAAAACAAGACCCAACAATATGCTGCCTACAGGAGACGCATTTGATAGGAAAAGACATACATAGGCTGAAGGTGAAAGGTTGGGAAAAATCATATCACTCATATGGACTTCGGAAACAAGCAGGAGTGTCCATACTCATATCAAATAAAATAGATTTCAAGCCAAAGTTAATCAAAAGGGATAAAGAGGGACACTACATACTGCTTAAGGGAACCACACACCAACAAGACATAACAATCATAAATATTTATGCCCCAAACAATGGTGC